CCAGCTACTCCAGGCTGAGGAGAGAGGATCACCTGAGCCCAGAAGGTTGAGGCTGCAGTGATCACACCACTGCACTCCAGCCTGGGTGACAGAGTGAGACCCTATCTCAAAAGAAAAATACAACTGTACGTAAGCCTGGGCAACAGAGTGAGACTCCAATTCAAAAAATAAAATAAAATAAAAACTAAATTTGTAAATGTTCATCCACTTCTCTCAGGTATTGCCTTCCCCAGTAATTCCATAAGATATCTAAGCTCCCTTATTCCAGACCCATATCTTACATTTAAAAGTAAAATTACCAGCCGGGCTCGGTGGCTCAGCCTGGAATCCCGCGCCTTGGGAGGCTGAGGTGAGTGGATTGCCTGAGCCCACGGGTTCGAGACCCACCTGGGCAACTTGGTGAGACCTCATATCTAGAATAAATCAAAAAATTAGCCGGGTGTAGTAGCGTGCGCCTGTAGTTCCAGCTACTTGGAAGGCTGAGGCGGAAGGATCACCAGAGCCCAGGAGGTCGAGGCTGCGGTGGCCAGGAGCGGCCACTGCACTCCAGTCTGGGCGACAGAGGGAGACTCCGACTCAAAAAAAAAAAAGTAAAATTACCTGAAGAACATTTCCTTAAAGATTAAATTCTAAAACCAGGGAGATGGTTAGAAATAGCTTACACATGTTATTCCTTAATGAGGGATGGTCACATACCAGAGAAAATACTTTGTAGGAATTTCTCACTCATCAGCTAAAGGAACAAAACTCAATTCAGATATCAAAGCATATCTTATGATGTAAGCAGGAAAACGCTACAGGTTAGCCAGCAAGCCACCTTAAGGGCAGGAAGCACCTATCTGCACATTAAAGATTTACAACAAGATCAAAACACATTTTACAACCAAACTTTCTGTGCTATTAAGGCCTGCTACCAAGAGTCACTACAATTAACCTAGTTCGAACTGATTAAAAGGAAGGCTCCTATAATTCAGGTTGTAATGCCTTCATTATGAGAGACAAAAATCATCTGGAATCTAAAAAACCATATTATAAGAGGAAAACTTTCCATATTCTAAACACACCATTTTAAGAATTCCATCATTCAGCATTTGGCAGAGAACTCTTTTTTTTTTTTTTTTTGAGTCAGGGTCTCACTCTGTCACCCAGGCTGGAGCATGGTAGCAGGATCACGGCTCACCGCAGCCTCAGTCTCCTCGTTCAGGTGATCCTTCCACCTCAGCCTCCCAAGCAGCTGCACTACAGGTGCATGCCAGCACACCTGGCTGTTTTTGGTTTTCTGTAGACAAGGTCTCGCTATGTTGCCTAGCTGGTCTCGAACTCCTAGACTGAAGCGATCCTCCCAGTTTGGCCTCTCAAAGTACTGAGATTACAGGCATGAGCTACTGCACCCAGTCTGGTAGAGAACTTGAAGAAATAATTTTTCTAGCAGCATAAAGAAACATGTTGCAGCCGGGCTCGGTGGCTCAGCCTGTAATCCTGCGCCTTTGGGAGACTGAGGTGAGTGGATTGCCTAAGCCCGCGGGTTGGAAACCCGCCTGGGCAGTGAGACCTCATCTCTACAATAAATAAAAAATTCAGCCAGGCATGGTAACACATGTCTGTAATTCCAGCTACTTGGAAGGCTGAGGCGGAAGGATTGCTGGAGCTCAGCAGGTTGAGGCTGCGGTGGCGGGGAGTGGCCACTGCACTCCCATCTGGGCAACAGAGTGAGACTCCCTG